TGTGGTCAATGACATGAGACAAAGTATATGTGAACTGCTGTATGGAAAGTGAATTTGCTCTGTAAATCTTCACCCAAATCACAATAAAAAAATATGAATTATCAAATCTTAAAATTGTAATCACAACTCTGTTGAACCTTTAAAATGACTTAAAAAAAAAAAAAGGTTAGTCATCTGAACCCACCAGCTGCTCTGTCGAAGAAAGATGGATCAGGCTGCTTCCATAAAGACTTACAGCCTTGGAAACCCCATGGGGTCACTGTTAGTCAAAATCGACTCAGTGGCAGTGAGTGGAGATATGTGAGTCTTGCAAAAACAACTGTCTTATCTTTCATTCTGTTATATACACTTGGACCACATTTTCTTTTTTAATGTGATTTGGGTGAAAATTTACAGAACAAATTCACTTTCCATACAGCATTACACATACACTTTGTCTTATGACATTGACCACAATTCACCACAGTGCAACAGCTCCCCTTCCACTTTCTCCCTCCAGTCACCTCTTCCCTGTGTTGGACCACATTTTTTAAATCAAGGGTAAACAGACACAGTCATTGTGTTTGTGGTAATGTACATGAGCACTTGAAGGCTCAGATCTGTACTTTTAAAAATACACCACGTAATTTTGATGCCAGTGGACCCTGGGCCAGGCTAAGAAAACTCTAGAGTTGAGGGGAGAAGGGAGTGAAGTCTGAAACTTCAAGCACACTGGTCTTCTGTTTTTACTGTTGAATGGTGTGGATCTCAGTTTTCTTACTCTATGGATGTAGATGCCGTAGGTATAGTATTTATGGAGCTATCTTGCTGGAAGAAAGATAATGAACACAGCAGTTATGTGCATAATTGCAGTTAATTATTATGTTGTGAATGTATGGTTAAACTTAATAAAGATTAACTTTTAAAAACTCTTATTAAAAGTTCCCTGTTATTTGCCAGTAATCACCATTGTGACGTTCCTAGGGGAGTTTGTTCATTCATAAACTTGATAAAAAAAGTGTGAAGCGCCTGTACTGTGCTGGGAGGTAGGGGGACAGCAGGGACCAACAGCTGCCCTCGTGGGAGTAAGAGTCTGGTAAGGGAGATAGATTAAAGAATTCCTTAAGTAAGCTTGTGCTTTTCAGTTTTGTGTAAATTTATTTTCTTTAATTAAGCTCTTCATTAAATTCATTAGCGAATGTGATCATTATAAATCTGTAAGTATATAACTGAGGTCATTGGTGGTTCAGTGGTAGAATTCTTGGCTTTTCTGCAGGAGACCCAGGTCCAGTTCCCAGCCAACGCACGTTATATGCAGCCACCACCTGTCAGTGGTGGGTTGTGTGTTGCTATGATGCTCAATGGATGTTAGCAGAGCTTCTAGACTAAGACAGACTAGAAAGAGAGGTCTTGCAGTTTACCTAGAAAAATCAGCCAGTGACAGTCCTACAGATCACAACAGGCCAATCCCCAAGAGGTCATGGGGAGGACTCAGGACCAGGCAGCATTTCATTCAGTTGTTCTTGGAGCTTTCTTGAGTTCAGCCAATTCAAAGGTAACTAACAACAACATTTAAGTAAACACAAGACAAAAAAGAAAAATCCTTGTTAGACTATATATTGTGATTTTTATGTAAGAAAATAATTAACATACGGATGATGAACTTCCCAGGCTCTCTCTAACAGGGATAGAAAGATATAATCCACAAATCAAATATGTACCTAGTTGGCTTGTTGTTCTTTTATTTGTTATTTTATTTTTATCAGTGAGTTAAGACTATACCTCTAAATAGGTTTAATTAAAATATTCTAAAGAATAATAATTTTTTCCTCATCATATCTCTGATCCATTGTCTCATTTGTAAACATTAGGAAAATTATATTCAAATGCTTTCAAGTACAAAGGCACCTTAATGCAGAATTCCCAAGGTGTACTGACTCAACGCCTAGCTGTTTCAGAATCTCTTTATGCTGTTTTCTTGTCTGGAATCTGAGTACTCCAATAGTCCATGAGAGAACAAATCAATATGAAACAATTGTCATTAATAACCTGGGGTTCCTGGTTCTCAGCGTTGCAGGTGGCGAGCTGTTTGACTTCTTAGCTGAAAAGGAATCACTGACTGAAGAGGAAGCAACTGAGTTTCTCAAACAAATTCTCAATGGTGTTTACTACCTGCACTCCCTTCAGATTGCCCACTTCGATCTTAAGGTATGCTGCTGGCTGTAAGCCTGGTAGATGCTGTTGCAAACCACAGCATTGTTTGCTTGTACAAAAAGTGGAGGCATTAAATAAGTATCTGAATGATACTTTTTTTTTTTTCCCTGTATGAGTTTAACAAATGGAATTACCAATATACATCAGCATGTAAATAATATATGCCTGCTGCAAGGATTTCTAATCTCTTTGAGGGATAAAGTTTTAAGATTAATGATTATATACTGGAATCTATGGTGAAGAATCAATGGGTTTTACCAGTATTTACAGTATTTAAGCAAGGGGTAACTCTTGATTATTGGAGCACCTTCGTCCTCTTCAGCCTAAAGTGACCAGAGGCTGACTCAATTTTCACCCTCTCTCTGGCTCCTGGAGGTCCTGGGTGGATTATGATTGACTACCAACCTAAAAGCTGGTGGTATAAATTCACCCAAGGTGTCATGGAAGAAAGGCCTGGTGATCTGCTTCCATAAAATTATAGTCAAGAAGACCTTCCTTTGGAGCAGTTCTGCTCTGTAACACATGGAGTTGCCTTGAGTCAGAATTTGTTGTTGTAGTTCTTTTGACATTTTTTACCTGCCCCCAATATGGAAGGTGTCTTGAGCTGTGCTTTCCTTTTGATGCAAAGGCTATGGGGCTGACTCTGTCACTGTCAATCAGTCACACCAAACCTTGAGGTTGGCTAATGAGGATCTTTGCCTGGCTGGAAGTAAGGCATGATGGGAGACAAAAAAGAGTGTAAGTTATACTTCCAGTCATCAGAGAGTTTATGATCTTTTGGTAAAAGACGGAATGGACATGTGAAACAGGAAGGAACAATGTAAGATCCAAGCCACAGTTGAAGACAGTTGGAAGAGGTGTCACAAAACAGGGTGTGATTGATTGCTAAGTGAATGATTCAGATACTTGGTGCTAGGATCAGACTTCAGAGAGGGAAGGATTTTCTCCATACTTAATGTAGTAGAGATATCAAGATGTCCTCTGACAATTTATCAGTGGTTATGGGTAATGATTGCACATCATGATTAATGTAATCATCATTACTGAATTGTACATGTAAAAAACTGCTGCATTGGCAAATATGTTATATGTATTTTTAACACAACGGCAACAGCAACAAAAAGCCTGGTCTATATCCTCTCAGTGGCATAGTGCCTAAGGCATTTGACTGCTAACTAGAAGGCTGGAGGTTCAAACCCACCAGCTACTCCTCGGAAGGAAGGTTGGGCAATCTACTTCCGTAGTGATACCGCCTTGGAAACTCAAGGAGGGGTCGCTATGAGTTGGATCTGACTCAATGGCAGTGAGTTTTGTTTTTGGTCTTACATCCTCTCAATACTCATTCATATGCATATACTCCAAAGGCTGCTTACTGCAAACATCTGTGACGCTCTGCCTGACATCTTTTTTCTGGCCCTAGGAGCTGAAGATGCCAAAAAGTAGATGCCCACACAAGCAGCTCTCAACAGTGGAGGATGGGGAGATGGTGGATAAACCCCCCAACTTCTCCTGCTTTCATTGGAATCACTCTAAGTTCTACTCTTTCTCCATGAGGTTCCCAAAGGGAATGCTTTCCAGTCACCCACACCTTGATAAGACACCTAGTATTAGCTTCCTTTCTTCCTTTTCCTGTTGCCGTTGTTTCCTGGTAACTTGCTACATACACCACTTGCACCCAAATCGTTGTCTAAGATTTACTTCTGGAAGAACCCAAAGTAGGACATTTATTTTTCCTGGTGTTCTCTTTCAACTATTCTTTCTTCCTGCTTTTTGGTTGCTCTTTTTAGGAGAGGGGAAAATTATTCTGCCATTCATGTCCTCAACATAGTATATTATAGCTTGTTCCTTTTTTTATTTTTGTTTTAAAGCCTGAAAACATAATGCTTTTGGATAGAAATGTCCCCAAACCTCGGATCAAGATCATTGACTTTGGTTTAGCCCATAAAATTGACTTTGGAAATGAATTCAAAAACATATTTGGGACACCAGAGTTTGTAGGTAAGTTTCTTTTCTTTCTTATAAACAATATATGCAAATTTTCCTCTGCTGTAGGATCATTTCCCCGGTCAATGTTTCTGGTCTATACATGAAGATAGAATCTGGTGTTTGCGTCCTTCCCTAGCTAAGTATGTGTTTATTTCCTCTTAGCTCCTGAGATAGTCAACTATGAACCCCTTGGTCTCGAGGCAGACATGTGGTAAGGAACATGTCTTGGTGTTGTTATCTTTCTGATTGATTTATCTATTCTTCTGATACTTTTTTTTTTTTTTTCTGGTGCCTAGGAGCATTGGCGTAATAACCTATATTCTGTAAGTACCAAAATCCACAACTCATCTTCTTAGCCTTTTTCTTTGAGACCATATGTTTTATTAACTATTAGATGTATCAAGTTGATCTCCTCCGCTTATGCATGGTTTTTATGTAAACATATTCATTTTACACCCCCAGAACATGTTTAGTTTATACTAATTAAATGTTTTCTCCTGATTCTAAATGATTCATCAGAAACTGTAGCATCATCATTTGAAAGAAAGCTTAGCTGTTCATCACAGCTAAAAAATAGGAATAAGGAGTTTTTAACTACTAGACGCTTTTCCAAATTAACTTTTTAAATCAATCTTTTGCATTAAACTAAAGCTTTTCTTCTTGACAGTTAAATGTCCTATAAAATGTAATTGAATTCTGAAGTGCCTGCCCATGAACTAGAATATAATCTTATTTCACACACCTCTTATCAGATATCAGATATTATAGGAACAAAAATGGTAATATGAGAGATAATTATAAATGTTCTGTGCCCCTCTACTTTTAACAGCTTAAGTGGAGCCTCCCCGTTTCTTGGAGACACAAAGCAAGAAACATTAGCAAATGTGTCTGCTGTCAACTATGAATTTGAGGAAGAATACTTCAGTAATACCAGTGCCCTAGCCAAAGATTTCATAAGAAGACTTCTGATCAAGGATCCAAAGTGAGTGTCTGTTATTCCTAAAAGATGCTGCGCTGTGCCTCAGCTAGCTGTGTATTAGCACTGTTCCATGTATGCATCCCTGTTCATCAGCCCCTGGTTGTTTCTGCCTGGCAAAGGGAAGCACTCAAGAAAATGCCGTACCCTTACCACCTGCTCAGCTGGTCTCTGCAGACACCATAAAATCATCATAGCAAGACCAATGTCATATTGGGCTTTTTCCATGAAGCAGGGCCCAAACTGCATGTTGCAGTTAGGCTCAGCTAGCATGGAACCCACCTTAGTGGTTTGCTGCTATGGTCACATCAATATATATATATTTTTTCTTTTTTTTTGCTTCCAAAGGAAGAGAATGACTATTCAAGACAGTTTGCAGCATCCCTGGATCAAGGTAAATTGCATTTTATGTTGCTCTTTAAGTGATTACCTTGAGTGTTATAGCCAAAAATCAGACCAGTTGCCATGGAGTCAATCCTGACTCATGGTGACCCCATGTGTGTCAGCATGGAACTATGCTCCATAGGGTTTTCAGTGGCTGATTTTTCACAAACAAATTGCTAGGCCTTCCTACTGAGGTGCTCATGAGTAGACTTGAACCTTTAACCTTTTGGTTAGCAGTTGAGCATTTTAACTGTTTATAACACCCAGCAACTCCTAAGTATTAATTTATCCTAGAGTATCTACAAATTACTATGGATTTTAGTGATAGATGTCATCTGGAGTATTGTGTTTACTATTGTGGCATATTCTAAGAAAACTGATAGATGAAAGTATATCCTAATGATAACTGAGGTAGAGAGGAGTAAGCTATTATGGGGCAGGATTTATAAACTGGAAGCCTCAAGGTCAAGTCCAGGCAACAGTTGTATTTGCTTTGACCTAAGAAGTATTAGCCCAAATATTACTTTTGAAATTTTTGAATTAGTGTCCAGCATTTAAATATTGCATACAAATCTGGATTTCCAACTTGCCTTGAAAAATCTGAAAATCTACCAACACCGAGCCCTTGTTCTTCATAGGCCAGAAGTCCAGCATAGCTGCACGTGTACTTAGGGCTTGAGACCAGTTCCTGACACATTACACATTTATATTCCCTGCCTGGCTTGTTGGCATTTGCATTAAAAAAATTGAAGTTGTTTCAGCCAAAGCAGAAAGGTCTAAGATAGAGGAATATGACAGAGGATAAAATAATGAAACCAATATTTTATAATAATAAATACTGTAATAATAAGGGGACATTCCAGAAGCAGGTTTGGGGAACTGGAGCACTTTTTTGCTTGTGTGAGTTGTCAGCTTTTGCCTGGGTTTTTATTTTATTTTTTGAGAGCCTCAAGTACATTTTTATTAAATTGAACTTAGTTGAATTCAGGTATCCTCTTAAAATTTTTAATTAATTGTGGTGAAAGATTTGCTGTGTTTTCTTTGAAGGCAATGGTGATTTGCTGATGGAGCTAAGGCTGCAGTAATGAGATTCTAATGGTGGGGACATTGGTGGTTCAGTGATAGAACTTCCACCTTCCATGCAGGAGACCCTGGTTTGATTCCTGACCAGTGCACATCATGCACAGCCACCACATTTCTGTAAATGGAGACTTGGATATTGATGTGATGCTGAATGTGTTTCAGTGGAGCTTCCAGACTAAGATGGACTAGAAGGAAAGTGTGTTAGATTGGGTTCTCTAGAGAAACACAAAAACCAGCAAAGTGTACATATATATTTATAGAGAGAGAGAGAGAAATTTATCTTAGGAAAATGGCTCACAAGCGTGTAGAAGCCGGCAAGTCCAAGTCTCCGGAGGAAACGGGCTGGTGGCAGCCTTAGCTTCCGTAAGCACAGGGGGCCGAGAGATTCAAGGCTGGCAGGCAGTACACTCGTTGTTGGCTCCAACAAAAGATGAATCCAAGATCTCC